ATAAAAACTGCAAGATGACGCTTTTACTACATTGCCCAACGATGTTAATACTAGTGTTGATCTGCAAATCAATTACTGAACTAGTAGGTGAATAACCCTGTACATTCTCTGTGTGCACTATGTACGTAGGTAGTGTTCATCACCAAGGACAGGTATGTTTGTACATGTGTTTGCGTAGATAGTGTTCATCACCAAGGATAGGTATGTTTGCATATGTGTGTGTGTGCGTGTGTGTGTGTGTGTGTGTGTGTGTGTGTGTGTGTGTGTGTGTGTGTGTGTGTGTGTGGATAGTGTTCAGCACCAAGGACAGGTATGTTTGCATATGTGTGTGTGGATGGATGGATGGTCTTCAGCACCAAGGATAGGTATGTTTGCATGTGTGTGTGTGTGTGTGGATAGCGTTCAGCAACAAGGACAGGTATGTTTTCGTGCGTGTGTGGGGGTGTAGGTCTGCATGGCAGTATCTTAATCCACAGGCTGTGTCGCTTTTTTTAGCGACAAAGTATAAATAATTACGTGTTTTCAACGTGAATTCCTCTTAACTTGATAAATTCTCTATTATTCTCTATTTATTATTAACAAAAACAAAAGCCGTCCTGGCGTCTACGCCACACTTTGTAAGCAGACACACACGTAATCACAACACTACAGAACAATGTACATTCAAATGTATATTACTCTGCACATAAAACCCCCCATTCCCTTACCTCCATTTTGGACGCTGCCTACCAGCTGGGGTTGTGTGGCGTTAAAACGTAGTTGATATACCGTTTACTTACCGAATGCCGAGACAAAGTAGTATCTAATCCATGAATAGCTGACCCCGGACAACATTTATGATGAATCTTACAATTTCACGCTGCGTTAAGCACTAGCCGCCACTGCACGTATAATAGGGACATCTCCGGGCATTTAAATCACATTAATGTAAGAATCATAGATACCACCGTAAGGGGGGAAATGGCCAGGCTTATAACGGCCGCAGGCTGACATATCACCACAGGCATTGTGTCCAACGTTAATGTTTTTTAAAAGAGCCATCAACAGAATAACTCGCTGCAGTCTGTCACTAGCTATCAGATAGTCCCATAGAACCATGCATCATACATGTACCTCGGTTATACGTAAAGCTTGCTGAAGCTGTTTTGCGCAGTTAAAGGCACGAGGTGATTATTTGAAATGATCGATCACTGATATTATTCGTCGTTGCCGTTGGAGGCACACGCAAAGGCCTGTGGCAGGTAGAAGTGTTGTTAGTGCGATATTAAACGACGTTAGGGAGAGACTCGGCAACATACAATGTTTGTAAGCTAGTATGTTACTCTCCCGAGCTCCAAGCAGAGGTTTTGGCTTATTTTTTGGCGTGCTTTTAGTTTCTTTATCGGGCTTTCTTTTTTTGCACCGGTATCAAGTAGACGTTTGGGTTTTGGCTTATTTTTGGCGTGTCAAGTTCAGGCTTTTTTTAATCTGACTTTCTTTTTTGCACTTGCATTGTATCATTGCTTTCTTTTACGCCAAAAAGAAATACCAATGCAAAAAAGGAAGACAGCCCGATAAAAAAGCCTAAAAGCACGACAAAATGAGCCAAAAGCCAAATCTCTGCTTGGAGAGTACTAGTATGTAGCCTGTCGATGAGGTGTTATAATTAATATACAAGCAAATTCGGTGGAGCAAGGGGACTTTATGTTGACCGCCTGTATCCACGTTAGATACAGTTGGATACAGGCAGCCAATGGATACAGGCGGCCAACATAAACTCCCCTTGCCCCACCGAATCTGCTTGAAGATTAGTTACAATAGCACGAGTTCTAATACAACCAGGTATTATACAGCGCCGGCGATGCTTCAATGAGACCGCTATATGTTGATTAGAATAAAGTACTAGTATGCTCATTGACTTTGTATTACGTTGCAAGCTAGATCTCTTCCGATTTTCCTTTTTATTTCTCTTAAAGTGTATGGGTAAGTGTTACTTATTTTTCAATCACCATTTTAACACTAAACATCAGAATCCAATGTATTTTAATTAATAAGCTTTTGAAGGCTCCCCATGCACTTACACGTAAGTGACTTCAGGTTAAGAAGTAATTTTAAGACCTCTGACTTTCAAAGTCTGTTTGTTACGATGTGTAGTACAAGCGCATGGTTGGCAAACGATCCCAGCATGTCTTTGTATCTCTAATACAAATCCAGTTTTACAGTATCGTAAAATCATGCGTCAAAGGCAATAACGTTCACTATACGGCATCGATAGTAACCTCAGTGACACCAGTAAAACGATAGATAGAAAGACAAGCGCGTACACAAAGCTAACTTGTCTGGGCATGGTTTACGTTTGATAATTAAGGAGATCTGGATCCGAGTTGAGCGATTGGCGGGAATAGCTGATACCGTTCTAAAATCAGTCAGTAGTACAGAGATCCTGGTATACAATCTACGTTAAATTAAGTTCATAAGTGTAAGATGAAAACATCCCCGTGTTAACGTGATCGTCTCTAAAGCCTCGGTCACAACTCGCCGTGCGTGCTTTTTGTCCGTACGTTTTTGTCGTGGCTACGTCTGCTACGTTTTTTCTGCAAACGTAGGGTGGCCGGCCGAGGGAGTACGTCACTCGCAAGGTGTACGTACGTGGTCTGCACGACACGCCTGACCGTCAGCGGTTGCGTGCATCGTACGTTGCGCAAGTGGTAAGTGAGTTGTACGTGCTTACAACGTACGATCTCTGTGCGATTGCCACGTTGCTGCGTACAGGCCGTACCTACACGTGCGGCGTGCGCACGATTTCCTTACTCACTCGCACGTTGTAAGTGCGTGCACCTCCTGTTAACTTCATCATCACTAGCCGCCCTGGTGTCTTCAGCGGCCCGTTTCTTTGGATCTTGTCTGGTAGACTTCTTCTGAGCCTTCCTGGGCATCTTGGAGACGAGTTGGCAGTCGCCCGTCAAGTCGTCTTTATATACTGTAGAAATAAGGTGCGTTGCGCGTGCGTTGCACGTGCGGAGCACCTAGTATGGTGCACGTGTGTTCTGCGTGGTCATTGAGCAGGTCAACTGGGAAGTGAGGAGTAAGCACGGATGACGCAAGCACCGTGCGTGGCACTGACGTGCTTCGTGCGCTGTCCGTACAGCAATTGCACGTGAGAATAGTGAAGTTAGACTCACGGAGTCCGTACGTTGCACGCTCATAGGCTGTACGGGGCACGCGCGTCGCACGTACTCGCACGCACGTGTGGTAAATCCGCAGACCGCACGTAGAAAAAGTATTACATGCACTTAAGGTTCTACGGCGTGTCTGCGTGCTCCCAAATCCGTAGGATTCCGTACGGAGGCGGTACTCACCACGCACGGATGCCGTACGTTTGCCCACGTTTTTGCACGTAGACAGCACGCAGAAGCACGTACGGCGAGTTGTGACCGTCGCTTAACAGTAGACCCCCCCCACACACACACACACAGCAATATTTCAACCTGCGCAGCTGCGTGGCCCATGGGCTGAGGGAAATGAGATGTGCGCCGTCCTATACACTATGTGGTGTGGGAAGGATGTTGTTATATACGTCTAACAACTTTAAACAACTAACGTTAACTAGTAAATGAACTGTTTTTTCTCCAATATTTTGAACTTGATTTCACGTTAGCAAAACCCAACTAGCTGACCGAGTGCGGACTAAAGCTTGCAGAAAAATCAGCACGACCTTACTGATGATCACTGTCAGAGCGCGCGGAGAATTCATGAACGTGAAGACGTGGAAGATTCCCAATTCTTCTGGCGAAAAGTTTTAATTTCACGGCTGAGAAGCCTCCCCGAAGCCCCCAACAGACTCGCCGGACTACACAGAAAATCCCGCGCGGACGCTGAAATTTATTTATCAAATCTCGGAACGTTTGAGACTCCCCCCGGTCTGCATGATTTAACTTTGATTCGACGGAACGCTTTTTGTGAAATTGTACTGTAATGTGTTTCCCTACTGACGAACCGCCACCTTTTAACATTTTTAGTATCCCAGGAGCTCTGCGAAGCGCTAAAACTCGATAGCCAAATGAAGTGTAAGACTGGAATTAATTACTCACTTTAACTAGAGTTTAAAGGTACCTTCACGGCTCATGTGATTTTGTATATTGGGCTCCATTTCGTCTGATTACCTGGATATGACTCAAAGCCCAACTTGCCAGCACGTAATTTGTTGTAATGGAAAATGAAATGACGTGTGAAGAGAATCGTAAATGTAAAGATTGCTAGTTGTTCATCAATGTCCTGTGCATAGCGAAGTGAGAAAATTCCCATACACGGGTTATAGGGGGTATTTCATGAGAGGGCAGCAATGCTTGGTGTATCCGCTACGTTAAACCCGTGGTCGGGTGCACAATTCACCGCACTGTACTGCTTGGGCGGCGGTACATGCCGATTTTATTTGGTGTCAGACAGCACTCAATTGTTGTGTGGAGTTATTTACGTGAGCGCGCGTGTGACTTTATGGCCTTTTGATCCCCTGGCAGTTAAAGATAAAGATATAACGTTAAAGAAAGATATTTTACCCGACATTTATTAGTTTTGGTAGCCCAATGCGGTAGATTTTTCTAAAAAGGGGCGTGGTCCTATAACTTTTGGAGACGTCATCATGACGTCACCAAAATTTGCATAAGTTAGTGTTTTCCAATAAGGTACTTCCTTAAAAAAATCAAGGTCCATACTTACCTAGCTATATGTAATATTTTTAAACACCCCAAAGTCCTCTCACCCTAAGAATCTGTAATATTTTAAGTACCAAACCCATGTCTTTTCCTTTGCACACTCACAAATCAGCTGCCTATAACTATATAATTTTCTTGTCGTCCTATACTTTATTTTTGTTACGTTTTAACACAAGCGCATTGCTAGTAATCCTATATATGTTCGTGGCGCTCAGAAGAAGGCTGAAGGCTGGCTCAAGATCGGTGCAAGATACACTGATGGCACCCCTGCATTTTAATGGTACACTCCATTCCCAACAAGCACTTCGGTGGCGCAATGAAACAACACACGAACACCCGGAAGTGCCGGAAGTTTCTGAGAAGACAGGAAAGAGCTTACCGGGCCGGGGTACCTGTACGTGATAGTACGTTAATAGTAGGTGAGGGCCGTGAGTCGTGATTTCTGTAACGTCGCAGCACAGGGAACAGGTGGGTACAGAGCTGAATATAGTCTGTTACGCTGATAATTATATTTCGTATGTATGTTAACGTTTAACTTACTATATCAACAGCATGCATGTGGCCGGTTAGTGCAAATGAGACATATAAAACATAATTTGACTGTCGGATTATGTAAGTTATCGGAAACTGAAAACTGTACAGCAAAATTATTTCGACCGCCTCCGAATTAGATCTCGCCCCACTCTCCCCCTT